AAAGAGGTGGTTTGTTACAAGATGTAATCGACAATGTATGATACCAACTTCCTTCGGCTCCCATACAGCTTCCAATAGTTGTAATATCTCAGCTGCGTACTTGATTTCTTTTCCTTCTGAGGTCAGTAATCCTCTTTCTTTATACAAAGCTCCATGGGCATGAGTGGTTAAAAACGCATACTTTGAGTCTGTGTAGATATTTACTTTCAACCCTTCAGCCAATTGCAAAGCCCGTGTAAGTGCGATTAATTCTGCCTTCTGTGCTGACGTTCCTTTTGACAATGGCCGCGCTTCTATCACCTTGTCTATAGTTGTCACTGCATATCCGGCATAGCGAATCCCTTCTTTCACGTAACTACTGCCGTCCGTGTAATACTGAACATCAGGGTTCTGGATGGGAAAATCATGAAGGTCCGGTCTACTTGAGAACACTTCATCCATTACCTCCAGGCAATCATGTCGACTCTCAGTAGGTTGCGGCAGGAGGGTAGCTGGGTTCAAGGTATTAACAGTCTCAAGATGCACTCTCGGGTTCTCGCATAATATGGCTTGATACTTAGTCATGCGGCTATTGCTAAACCAATGATTACCTTTATAGTCTAGCAACGTCTGTACTGCGTGCGGGACTCGCACATAGAGTTCCTGACCCAGAGTGAGCTTGTCAGCTTCTGCTACCAACAGGGCGGCGGCAGCTACGGCCCTTAGACAAGGAGGAAGACCACTGGCTACTGCATCCAGTTGTTTGGACATATACGCAACAGGTCGTTGCCACGATCCCAGATACTGTGTCAGTACTCCCACAGCCATCCTTCTTTGCTCGTGTACATATAAGTAGAATGGACGTGTATGATCAGGTAGACCTAATGCGGGGGCGCTCATCAATGCCTTCTTAACATCCTCAAATGCCTTCTGCTGTTCGATGGTCCACAGGAAGGAATCATGTTCCGTGCCTTTAATAGCGGTATAGAGGGGTTTCGCCAGTATCGCATAACTGGGAATCCATATCCTACAGAAGCCTGCTGCCCCTAAGAATTCTCGCACTTGTCTTCTATTCTTAGGTGTTGGTATTTGGCATACAGCCTCTTTTCTTTCAGGCCCCATTATCCTTTGACCTTCAGAGATATGGAATCCTAGATACTTGACAGTTGGCTGACACAACTGAGCTTTCTTCCTGGACACCTTGTATCCTGCCTTCCAAAGAATGTGCAGTAAATCATAAGTTGCTTGCTGGCATATCTCTTTAGTAACTGCCGCTATCAACAAATCATCCACGTATTGTAGTAGTACACATTCTCCTGGGATGGAGTTGAAATCTAATAAGTCCTGACTTAATGCTGATCCAAATAGGGTAGGTGAATTTTTAAACCCTTGGGGCAATCTTGTTCAGGTCATCTGACGTTTCGAGCCCATTACAGCATCTTCCCATTGGAATGCAAAGATACACTGGCTTTCTGTAGCAATTTGTAGGCAAAAGAAGGCATCTTTAAGGTCCAAGACTGTAAAGTAAGTAGCCCCACCTGGAATCAAGGCAAGCAGGTTATAAGGATTGGGCACAACTGGATGTATACTTACTACCCCATCATTGACTGCTCTCAAATCATGCACAGGACGATACTCATCTGACCCAGGCTTCTGAACAGGCAACAATGGAGTATTCCAGGGGGAAGTACAGAATTTTAGGATACCATACCTTATGAACGTATCCAAATAAGACTGTATGTTCTTCTTCGCTTTTTGAGGTATATGGTATTGTCGCAGGCTTACTGGATAAACCCCAAGCTTTAGTTCGATGCGTATAGGTGGGATATTGCGAGCAAGTCCTGGTGGGTTATTTTCTGCCCACACTCCTGGTATATTATACAAGGATTCATCACTCTTAGGGTTTTGACTTGTCAATACTGTATAAAGTCGCCACTCTTCTTCCTTTGGTACTGATAGTGTCATTATACCTGAGGGTCCATTAACCTTCAAGGATGTCGTTCCGTTAGGCAGAAATGTTATCTGTGCTTGTAACTTCGACAACAAATCCCGTCCTAGAAGTTGGACTGGACATTCAGGCATGTAAAGGAACTGATGTTTTACTACGTGGCCTCCCAGTGTACAGAGTCGACTTTTGAGAACCGGTTTAGCAGCACTCCTCCCAGTTGCTCCTATTACAGTGATAGTTCTTCCTGAAGGAGGAGCAACTAGGTCGGTTACCACAGAATGTTCAGCACCAGTGTCGATCATGAAAGAACTCCTTTCACCCCCTATTGCTACATCGACCATAGGCTCCGCTCGACCAAGGGGGATGGAGCCTGGTCGTTATCAATAGTCCTGCATAACAGTGTCAGCCAAACCCACAAAGTCCCTATCTTCTCTTTCTCGCGGTCTCTGCGCTGCTGGGTAATACCTATCCCTTTGAACGCTTCCTCTACTATTCCCACCATTTCCTCCAGGGCCTCCTCTTCCTCTCACTCTACCTCTATAGTTATTACTATATCCTCCCCTTGTTCTATCTCTCTCATGTTGTTCCCTCAATGGACACTCACTCCTCCAATGCCCTTCTTCCCTACAATATGCGCATTGATTCCTACTTAAAGGCTCCCTATTCCACTTATTCTCGCTTTTCTCGGTTCCCCTGTACACTTACTTTTCCCTTCTATCTACACCAGCGATAGCTACCGCCTTCCTTCTCATCTTACGCTCTTCTTCCTTCTTCGTCTCTGTCTCCCTATTCATATAAACCTTATTTGCTATTTCCAAGGCAGAGTTAACCATCCGGGAATTCTCAGGAGCCTCTGGACTAAAGGGGGTATACAATCGGTATGCCTCCAATAATCGGTCATAAAAGGCATTGGGCGACTCATCACATTTCTGCAATACCTCAGCCGTCTTTGACATATTGATCGCCTTTTTCCCTCCGGCTTTCATGCCAGTAATAATGGCTTCCCTATAAGCTTTTAGGTGAGCCATATCAGCACCATTAACATTCCAATTCGGATCTACGTTTGGGTAATGAGCTGCGGCCCATGCTATCGGGTTGGCCTGATTCTGTGCACGGGCCACTTCTTCAAGCGCTTTAATTGCCGCCTGATTAATCCGAGTCCTTTCCTCGTTACTAAACAATGTCATAAGCAATTGCTGGCAATCAGCCCAAGTAGGATTGTGCGTTTGGATTATGGAGGTAATCAAATCTGTCATGGCTTGAGGTTTGTCTGTGTAAGAGGAGTTATGGGTTTTCCAGTTGAACAAATCCGTAGTGGTAAAGGGAACATAAACAAATACGGGGTCGGCATGTTGTAACTGGCCTTCACCATTAATGTGTGTCGGGCCCGGTGTCAATCGGAGAGGCATTTGATAATGTCGGAGTTTGAGGGTACCGGTCAATTGTCGGGTTAGTATGGGGCTTCGTTGAGGAAGGTCAGTTATGGGTTCCGGTCGAGGGGAGGGGGATGCCTTTTCTTTACTGAAGGGGAGGTTGGTAAGCAGAATATTCCGGGCCGGGCTGGGAGGAGCCTGACCAGGAACCAGAAACGACGTCAAATCCGGATAGGTGGAGTTAGTGGGGGTAGGTACCGGAAGAGGAGGGTTTAGAACAAGTGGGCTAGGCTCTGAGCTAGAGGATGAGGTAGGAGGAGACAATGGGGCAAGGGGAGTGGCATTACTAGCCACACCTCCTCTTCCTCTTCCTGTAGAGGAGGAGTAAGGGGGCGGTAAAGGAATCTCGGACTCAGGGGGCGTGTCCAGAATGGGCGTGATCACGGCCTTGGTGGACAAACGAGTTCTGGCCAACAGGAGGCGGCATTGCTCCTCTTGGCACACCCTGATCCATTTTGGCAAGTCATCCACGGCCTGCTTCCAACAATCAATATATGGAAACTGGTCGTAAAGTTCCGGCCTACCAGATACAGCTACATGTACACGCTGCACTAGATTAGGATCAAGACTACCACGTGGAGGCCATGCAACCACTAAGGCAGGCCATTCCCTGCTACATAAAGTAGTCAAACGTGTTGGAGACATCTTTATCCCAAAATCACATACATTATATCCCTTTTTAAAATTCTTTAACATGCAATCTAAGGGATCAACGATCTTTGAATCCAACGCACCCATACTTAACAATGGAGCGTCGTCTCCAATAGAAACAAAACAAAACACACTTCCAACAGTCACACCCATTTCCCTTGGCAACAGCACCACGTGGCACAGTTACTAGGCCAAACGCACACAACAAATCATACAGAGAATTCCCGTACACACACAGCTGTTACACCACACACTAAATAACTATTACTGTACCTTTTTTGGCGAAATTATACAATTACCCACGCTATAATTCTCAGTATTTAAATTACCCGTCTATAACACACCCTAGTAACATCGTCTTTACAAACAGTAGTTATAGTACGGTTAGCATTGGTTAGCATTGGTTAGAATACAATTTTAAAGTCACAGGTCAGTTAATAGTAGTTATGGTGTTAAACATACAACATAAACGACAGTTATTAGTGATTATTTACAGTATCAGTGATTATAATACATGGTTATGGTACCGTGCGCTATGATACAGTTACACACTATTCACACTCTCGCTAGACGGCAGAGCTCACGCTACCCAGCAAGATATACACTCTACTATAATAAATTTTAACACATTTACAGTTTCCCAACTAATCTATTGAACAGTACCTCGAGGGACTACCTAAAACTATTTACATCCGTTTTGGTTAGCCGTCGCTGCCCAAGCACCACATATAGCGAACTAGAGGGCGGAATTTACAACAATACCCTTTTAGTCTATCTACTCTATCAATAGTCTAGTGGGTTCCAAATTTACACGCCTTCCCACTTAGCCAAGATAGGTTGAGAACTAGCAAACGATAATGTACACCCTAGATACGCTAGTCTAGACAAGACACCGGTGTCCGGCTTGGGCTATATACATTCAACCAAGACCCAGCCTGACTCCATACCAAGATTAGACGGGCTGACTACAGGGCGTCTAATTATGAGCGGTGCGCCTTCGCTCCTTCCCTCCCTGGAGGGGGCCAATTCCATACACAATTCCAATTCAAACCCCTTATGGGCCTACCGCACAATCGGTATCCAATACCCCTAGTGGGTCCACCGTCTAAAACAGTAGTCGTCTTACCTCCTCGTTCCTGAACCTGAGTTCACACTCATCGACGGGGACACCCCAGTACTTACTACGTAGAGGCCGATGATCTCCTGGACAACAGACCAGTGGCGCCGAGACGAAGGGAGGTCCACGCAGAAGTTCAGGGGTGCAGCCGTAGAGAACGTGGGCAAAGATAGACCGTCTCACGCCTCTGCTTCCTAGCCACCGTTAACGACGAGCTTCCCGGCCAATGCACCAAAGATGTTACCGGGAAACTGACGGAGGCCAAGCACAGAGAGATGGACACAGGTTTCTTCAGGAAGGAAGAGATCTTTATTCGATTCACCGACCGGGACTCAGAGGGACTTATGTCACCAAAAACAGCAAAGATCTGAGCACTGAATACATAGAGTACATTCCTTATATAGCACTGTAGCTCCTCCCATAATTAGCTACGCCCACACATACCCTTAACCTAATCAATGAATAGAGTCTAAACTCATCCATCCGGTCTAACCACGTGGCTCATCTGAAACAAAGGAGAGGGACGCGTAATTCCAGTTCCTGCATTCCTGCACATGCTCAGTACAGTGATGACAGTACCCCATTCTTGGCAGGTCCTACTCTAACAGCCCAATGCTTGCTCTTATGAGATTAATCCACTTACTTGGGAAATACTTCCTTACTGAGACTCTCTGCAAGTCAAGACTAAATAGGGTCCTGGAATGAGGCACCTGTGAGAAGGGTAGTAGAGTAGGCCCTGCCAAGAATGGGGTACATTGACATTGTGGCAGGCTTATGCAATATATGATCATATAATGTAACTAAACCCCCATTATTTTTTGCCTAGGTGAGGTGTTTTTAAATAAAACTATTACAATCTCTAAGATTTGAAATCATTGTTTAGTGAATAAGCTTAGTGCGCTGGATTCTGTATTTTGTATATTTTGGCCCCAGCAGCACCCTATAATGTAAGCATGTTCAGGTGAGTGCAGCCCTCTTGGTTTTATATATATATATATATATATATATATATATATATATTTATTATTATTAGGTTTTTTTATTGTTTTGTTTTAAATTCTACTATTTTTGCCATAAAGGGTTTCTCCAACCACCATGACCAGTTCAGTGATATGAAGTTGTCATGGTGGTAGTAGACTGGATATGCACCATTTGTGCTTGAAAAGCTGTACATCCAGAGATGTAATCACTTGGTGCCAGGGGCAAGTTACACCCCTGTGTTCTGGGCTGCCCAATATCAAATCTGTATAAAAATGACACCTGTCGTCAGTGAGCACAGCAT